TGTAAAATATTTCTTAACTGTGGCGTTTAATTCGATGCGTAATTTGCTTCTGTTAAAACATTTTCTACGAAACTATAACTGCAGGTTAATTTTTTGTGTTTAGTTGCTCATCAAAACTCTGTAGGTCTTAATAATCCTGCATGCGATATTAAAATACTAAATTTCATTAGTTTTAAACAGTAATTTTGCTTAAATATTAAATTTTATTGGTGTTATGTATGAGCAAATTATGTTGCCGCGTATCGCTTACTGTCAAAAATAAATTAATCCAATCAAAATTAATCATTATAAGATGTTTAAGATGCCTTTGATATGGTATTCGTATTTCAAGAAAAATGCTATTATACGTCGGGTCAAAAGTATATATTGATATCAATTTTCTGTTCATTCAATTCATTTTCGAATATGACGCATCTAAATGAAACCCAGAGGACTGAAATTTTAATTTTCATTGGAGATGAAGACAAAACGAGAACTCAAGAAGTTTGCAATTTCTTTAACGTAAAATATCCAGAAAGACATTACAAAATTACAAATTTACATTTACAAATTACATTTACAATTACATTTACAAAATTACAAATTCCATAGTGAGTAAAATTGAGAGAAACTTTATAGAAACAGAGCATGCCAAAGAAATTAACTTCTTAACAATATGCTAATAGGTTTAAAACCCGTTCCAAAATATGACTCAAGATATTTCCATTAATTTGCCTTATTTCGTATATAATTCTAAATTTTAAATCATCTAAATTTTTGTTTTTTTCTTATATACTTTTGAGGAAAAAATCCAGTGGAGTGGAGCGATATCTCGAGATCTAGCAGGCCATTCTATTGATCTCCTTCTTGGCCAGGCATTTGTCCAGCAAAATGGGGAGGAGCATCATTCTGTTGGCATCGATCTAATCTGGATTTGGGAAAGAAACTGCGAGAGTAGAAATTAATTCATAAGGTCCAATTCAAGATCTCTACCCAAACATTAATTTTTTGCGGATGTTGAGTATGATTTTCTCCCATCCATCTATTATTATTTGCAGTCCAATACATACAATTTAGTTTATTTGCCGTACCATTTAAACAAAGCGCGGCTTCATCAATAAACAATATCTGGCGATGAAAAAATCGATTTAAGTTGCACATATCCATCACGGATGATATTTTTCTTTTTTTAATACACGCAAACTTGTTCGTTGGCTAACATCTTTTTTTAATCCTGTGTTCTTATTAGTTTCTGGAAGATCTGGCCGCGCATTATTTTTTACATGCACTACTTCTATAAATTTAGATCTTGAACTAGATCTTTTTGGATATTTTGCTTTAAATAAATTATAAACTTTTTTTTTTCACTTTCAATTAAATTTCTGTTTTTTGTTTTCTTGCTCAGAAAAACTAGGAGATAGGTATAAGAGCATGCTACATAAATTGTGGGTAAAATTTGATGCAGAATTCGATAACGATATTAAAAAATGGTGTTCCATTAAGTAACTTGGTATCGACATTTAATTTTTTACGCACCCTACATTTTCTGTCTTACTGCACAAAATGCGGAAGAAAATATTATGAAGAACGTGTGCGGGTATTTTTTAAATGAATTTGTTCCATGTCACTCTATATCAATTAACACCACAAATGTTAGTCTTTTGAAATGTGTTCGTTTAGTTTCCAGGTTTCAAGTGTAAAGCTTGCCCATTTTAAAACGTCTTACACTTTAAACCGTCTTCTTTTGAAACTGAACGCAAAACATTTTTAACTCTATTTCCCACGGAATTTATCTAAAGAGAGCAGTTATCTCCCACCACACACACCCGCTCTTTGAAAAGCTCCCCAGGCTCTTGGCTAAGCTGGTAATATACGAGTAGTTGTTAATTTTTGTTATCAACGGCTTAAATATACAGGACGACGTATAACACCTCCCAAAGTTGCAATAACAGCCTTATTACAACCGCGAAGGATCATATTTATATGCATTAAAGCAAAAATTGCCAGCTTTATTGGCGGTAACAGTAGACGCTGAGTGAACCATAAAGTGGTTATCAAATGATATATTTCTATTAAGACGCCTTTATATCCATTCATCCGTAACAGGTTATATTAGCGCAGTTAAATTTTTATTTTAGATGAAATTTAGTGCATTCTTCCTTTTACCGGTTGCGGTTATAATTTGGTTTATTATTTGCAACAAATTTGGTTCAGTTTTAGGTGACGTCGAGTTTTAAAGTCAATGTTCAGTCGGAAGGTGAAAGTAAAAGACAATGTAGCCAAACAGTTTACAGTTTTTGGTTACCATATAAAATGTTATACTATAATATACATTTAATAATAAAATTTAAATCAAGAAAAAAAAATAGGGAGAGTCAATGCACGGAACTGGCATGAAATTTTCTTTTTTCATTCCTTTATTCATGGGAATCCCATTTTACTCTTTTTACTACTTAAACGTTATTTTGTTGAATTGTTAATGTTTTAGGTACACAAAAGACTTGCTTTTTTAAAACTTATTTATCATTTTGTTGCATTAAGAAAAACAGTTTTAGTATTCGTAAAAAACTGGAATAGGACGAAACGTTGTTTCATTTTTGTTACCACTAATCCACCCAAAAGAACTTTACATTATCTCTTGTCACCAGAGAACAAGAGAAAGAGAAACAGCAAAAGCAGCGGGACTGGCACACTTAAACACTTTAAAACATTCACCAAACACTTCAAATACAAAAATCACACGAAAAAAAACCTATCAGATATTTTTGGGACGAATACAACGGATTCTGCAGGGAGCGAGCGGAAGTTAAACCGCTATGCTCCACCACAGAATCCCACCAGAGAACAAAATTAAAATGAATTTAAGTGCGCCTTTTTGGTTGCATACTTTGTTGCTAAATCTATGTATCATAATCTATCCATATGCCCAAAACTAATTTCTTAAGAACAGTAATAATAATAAATAGCCACCACTTCCCACTCATTTTGCTTGATTTTCCTCTGAGAACACTTCGTTCCTTTACTTTCGAATTGCTGTCTTTTTGACCCTATTTAGTTTACACTTGTTAAGTTCAAGTTGTTGTTGAAAGAGAAAACCAATATCTAAATTTTCCGGTGCTATTAACGAGCTTAGCGTAACGGGAAAGAATTTACTCTTAATTATAATCATTTAATAAGGGGTTTAGCTAAACCTTAAAGGCCCTTAATACCCGTACAATCCAAAAGGAAAACTAAATCTCGTTAGACAATCTTACGCCTGACATCTCCGCAAAATAAGTTAAGTCTACGAGCTGCTCAAATTGGTGGAAAATGTAGAAAAGAAAGGAGCCAAGTCGCTTTTCAATTTTCATAATTTTCCAGCCAGCGGATAGATATATCGAAATTGCGAACAAAAATGTATCTCTGTAAATGGGGTATATTCTCATTATTTTGCGGTAATTCCTTTTCGGTGTTACTTTTTTTTTTAAGGATATAATTCTTTTTATTGAAAATTTACTTCTTTCGCTTTGCTAACTATCGCTAACAGGTTTCGTTTTAAAAGAAACCATTAAATCTCCAATAGAGATCCAACTAATACTAATACTAATGAAAATGGTAATACTAATAAATAATATAAACATTAAATACTAATAAAAAGGAGTGTCAAACCAGTCAACTTACATATACCAAAAAAAGTTAAAATTTATTGACAGAAAACAAAATATACAGTCAACTGAGACAATTCTTTCAACATACTTTTGGTATCTAATTATTCATTTTTTCCATTTATGTCTAATTTGACATAGGGAATTAATAAATCAATGTATTTAAAAAACATAACTAAGAAGTTTTTAGTTGCTATTTATAGTTGCATCAAAGTATTCAGAATACCAGTAAAACGTTTTTCTACTAAAACCACTTTCACGAATTTTGCATTAAATTTAGCTGGCAGCGAAATGTTAGAAGGGTCTGATAAGAGAGAGTCCTTTTTTGAAGCAGGATTGCTGATTGGGTTGTCTAACTAGTTATCTCCCCAAACTAAGTTACATATACGGTCTCCTAGTTTGAACACATCGATTGGCTATTTTAAATTTTTTCTAAAACGTTATACAACTCTTAGGTGTCCAGAAGCTTCTTAAGTTGGAAGATAAATCATAACATACCCAATTTGATATATATGGTTTCAGATGTTGAGAAGAATGACGCTGGTGCAGAGGAATTTAAGCAGTTAACATAATAATTCATTTTAAAATATGGGAACATATTACCTGTTAGCTATTTGTGTATTAGAGAAATGCAAGGGTACGAGGCCAAGCTTTGACAAACCATCGTCTATTCATCAGCAACAAAATTTATATGTTCCGTTCTGATTTAGTTTATATGTTTTCGTTTTGGAGTCCAAGCAGTAACTCTGTCTGTGGTTAACCTCCACTTGACTGACGTCTGGTCACTGCACTCGACCTGTTACATTCTCATAGTCATTCTCCGGTAAAGTTTTGCACTTGTCGGTGCCAGTGATCTCTGAATATTAAAATGCAAAAAGTTTGTTCCTCTCCAGAGCAACCTTGTTTAGATGGCAGTGCATCGAGAACGAGTATATTTTAGAGTGACACAGATGATAAGTAGTTGATGATTGCTGTGGCATCTTGTTGGCGGGTTTGTATCGTAGCCCAATGATAATTGAATTGAGTGTAAGGACAGCTCTAAAAATTGCCTTACTACACCGAAACACTTAAATGTGTAGCTAAAGTAAATGTAACTTATTTTTTCACCTGGCATCTAATTAAAATGCGAAACACTGCGACTTGTGTTGAATATTTTTGTAGTAAATTGGTGAATAGATTAATAAAAACTTTTAAACAGTTCTTGTTTCGCCTTCCCACGGAAGCCAAAACATAACGACATCAACACTTACCCGTTACAACTAGTTTTAAATTTCATTAACGTCGACGGCGGCATGCTTAGTGCTAATTTTATTGGTCACCCAGGCGCATGCTGCTGATTTGATTTGTCTGCTGCACGTGAAACCATAAAACCCGAGAGCTTCAGTCGTGTTCCTGAAGGTTTTGCACGTCTGGCAGCATATTCTGCGACCCAGCCTTGGTTAAATAAACCCGTATGTAATCTGAAACTGAGCAGACAACATAGCGAATACAATTTGGCTTCTTTCTTCACGTAAGTATTGGAAATTATGGAGATTGCGATGGATATATTGTTGTCAAAGTCGTTAAATATATAGAGGCTGATAGTAGTTTACCTTGTTTTGTTTTGTTTCAAGAAAAAATATAGAATCCATATTGTGTGGTTCTGCTGCATATTTTTGTAAGGTCTTTAGTTTTTTTATTCTTAACTTGTATTCTATGTAATACTAAAATTAGATACTATGGGAAAATTGTGCTTACTGGTAGTTTTCTGGTACCAGACTTTAATTTTCTTAACATTTTAGAAGGCGTTGTATTGCGTGAAACTATTTCTATAGGTTATTTGTGACCTTATGTTACAAAAATAATTAAATGCCACAAACTTCATTAAAAATGTAATAGAATAATAATGTTAATGTCCATAATTTTCGGGAAAAATAAAATGATTTAAACATTTAAAGTTATCCTTCGAATGGCCTAATTTGTACCTCAAATTTCATTTAAAAATATGGCCTCAGCGGCTAGAATTTCGATGTTGTCGAAATAACTTCTAAACACTTCGTTTATCATATCTTTAAAATTGTAAAAATTTTAGAAGAAGAATGAAAGTCAAAATGATACAGTATTTATAGTTAAGAAATTCTGATTCGTGTTGTTTTTCCAAATTTTTTTTTTGTTAGGAGAAACATTGGTATTATACCTAAATGAAATTAAATCAAAAAATATCTAATGTCTAATCTAATGTACGTCGAATAAAGGTCATATCTATTTTTACCAATAGGTATACAAGATCTCGCGAAGTGCGTACAATATTTTATTAGTCTAAATTTTTGGTGGAACGAATTATCCCAGGAAATTTAAATTTTACTTTACATATATGAATTTGTATATGAATACTTTTAAAAGCATTCTGCAGATGTTAAATACTTTTGCAACTACAATTACTGTAAAAAATGAGAATTTCTTCTCAGTTTTATTAAGAATTATTGTGCAAGTAGATTTTGCTAAATCTTATGAGTCATATTTCAAATAAAATAATGTTTCATTAAATTAAAAATTCCTTATCACTATTTTAGAAAAAAAAACTCTTCCAGTAATGCATTACGACATTTTTTTTCCAAAATAAATAAGAACTAAAAGTTCAGATTTTCACGAAATTATATATTTTGACATGACAATTGTTTCGACAACACCGTGTTTTTATCAAATGTAAAAGACACGGTGTTGTCGAAACAATTATCATGTCAAAATATATAATTTCGTGAAAATCTGAACTTTTAGTTCTTATTTATTTTGATAAATGGATTTTCATCAAGTAAAAGCCTCCTCAGTTCAATTTTTTTTTATAACAAACTGAAACTTGATTGCGATATTTTTTTGTATTTTCCTTAGCATCGTTTATGGTAAAAATGATTTTTATTGAAATGTTGCTCGGAAAACAAACGAAAAATGAGAAATGAGGACAAAATTAATTGACCACCATTTCCATCAGATCAAACTGATCTGGCGCTTTGGTACTTCTTTTTTAAATAATCGTCATGTAACACCGAAAGTGCTTAATCGTGTTCCAGATATTTCGGATGTTGTGAATAACATTAACACTACAATAGCATAAAATTAGGAAGTTTAAACTAAATTGGTCCTTGTTAGTGGTTTAGCGGGAGAATTCCCTAATTTAATTTCCAGTAATTTAAATCCGCATTAAATGCCAGTCAAATTAGCCTCATAGATAACAGAATTCACGTAAACGATTGCCAAAATTCATTTCGATTCAGGCCTTGCATAATATAATCAAATTGACGAATTTATTTATATTAGCAATACTGTAGATTCCATTACTTTAGTTTGTTTATTGAAGTCTGGTTTTTATGATATTTTGAATAAATAAGTATCTGCTTTCAATTCGAAGCATTTTTAATGAAGGTCGTTATTTAAAACCATTTCAATAAATAATACCCCGATTTAAAGTAAGCCTACAAAATAAATTATTACCGTAATTACCGATTGTATATGCAGAGGAATGGCGTTACTAAATGAACTATAGCACGCTAGGTTTGTCATTCAGATAAATATTGCCATTCAAGATATGGACCTAACTACTGTATTGATTGGCGCTATATTTTTAATAAAAGTGTTTATATATTTTAGTTTATTCGCTGAACAATTAACGACGGCGTAATGTTTACCTGGCATTCTTTTTTTTCCAGAATGAAGAATAATGGAATCTGCTATAGGACTGATGATGATATGGTTTATGTCGAACAACAAGCTTTTTACATCGTGACCGAAACTTTTCGTCTGGGTATGAATGGATGGAGAAAAAAATGTGTTTATTTGCTATTGACATTTCTCTTGATGACGATAGTAATTAACTTATCGTTGACATTGTGGATGATAAAAGTATTGGAATTTTCTTTGGTAGGAACTATGAATATTTACGACTAATGTCAGTACTCAAAACTAGTCATCTCAATCAACTAACATCGTATACAAGCTTGTCAACAATTTTTCTAATCTCATAATAGCTTTAAGAGGCTGTAATTTGATTAATTTAAATAGAATGACGTTATTTTTTAACTTACCAAGGAATAAATGTTTTATTTAAAATTATATAGAATTAGAATATAGAAATGATGTATTAGGGTAGTTAATTTGATCTGGTTTTGCTCTAAAATTAAAAGTTAAAACTCAAAATCAACGCACGCAATGACTAGGTAAGTATACTTCTGCCAGAACTATAGTGCTTTTACAACCAACCCCGTCATTAACTTTGCCCACTGTTTATTACTCCAAAACCGCAGCCCCTTATAGAACACCCTGCCGAGCAAACCTTTAACCATTCCAGGACCGTCCTAGGAATTTATCTATCTATAGTAATAAGCTAATAATTTATTACGTTCTATGTCACTTGTTTTTGTTGCTGCTCCTACTTGCCTTTCTGAATTTATTATACAATAATTGTATAATTGTATAAACAATAGAATGTATACGCGGTTATTAACGGTGGGTGTCCTATTAAACGTTTCTGGAGAATGACTTACGGTAAAAACCTGAAATGTTGGTCACTTATGTAAGCGAATATGAGCTACCTATGAAAAATATTTTTGGCCATGCGGTGTTTTCCAGCCCTACTCGTAACGTATATCAATTTTCTTTTTTAAAAATGGAGCACCCTGTATATTACTGCATTTTTAGATTTCGCGAAGCCTTCTGGAACTTTTTTTTTGTGAAAATACCACACCTATTTCGAACATTTTCGGAGGTAAAAAATAATTTTTGAGAAATTTAGCAACAAACAAATCTCCATAAAATAATAATTTTTTTCGCAACCCGTACAGCTAAATGCATAGGGTTTATTACTTGTGATCCTTTATTCTAGACGAACTAACTCTAGAAGACTCATAAAACAAAATGGCGGTATCTAGTCTAATAGAAAAAATATTAATGGATGTAATAATTCAAATACTTGCATGAGTCGATATGGTGTCCGTATAAGTATTGTTGACAAGAACATTTGGAATTATATTTAATTTGCGTCTTTAGGGCTAATAATTCTTTCCAAATTTTTAATGGATACGTTTTTATTTGATTTGTTAATTGAAGAAAAAAGTGCGTAAACGGAGCGTATTATGCATTAATTATCATGATTTTTTGTTAGCTAATAGAATTGTGCGATCAAAAGTTTAGAAAAAATCCTTATTCCTAAGTAAATAAAATATCCGACCAAATTTACTTTGCTCAAAAAAACAGTTTTTGGTGTTGAAAAGATAGCTCATATTGTCTTTTCACCTGATTTTTTGGTTTTTAATTGCAGTTTTAATTTATTTAGTTTAATAACTTTAATTAAGCTCTTTAATACACAAGGATATACAGCACCAAGTTGTGAAAATATTTTCAGCTCTTCAAACGCTAAACTTATGCTCGCGATACTAATTTAAACATTTTACGTCAATCTAAATAAGCTAAATTATTTTCTAGGACGGAATTGGTCTCCTAAAAATAATGAACCAGGGGCTTAAGTTGAAGGGAAATTCCTATATTGTAGACAACTTAACAGCAAATAGCATTAAATCCAGAACCGGAGAGCCATTAAGTATAAAATCTAATAAAGATTTTATGATGCGTTCTAGAAATGCAAATGGAATTTTAAGTAACTACATGCATCTGGGTGAGAGTGAGCTTTAGTTGTTTGTTGTTCCGTTAAAATTGATAATGCGTCCGATTTATGCTGGTTAGTGTATGTTTGCTTTGCCGCTTAAGTTTTTCGAAACCATTAGTAGTATTGAATTTATTTGGTCTACAAATATTTTCAAGTCAGTTTTTAATAATTGGACATATTACGTGTTTATTTTCTAAATTCTTAAACACGAAACATATATACCCAGGTTATTTGACAATATATTGGTAGTAAATATGGTAAATTCAATACACCTTACGAGGCTACGACATTTTTGTACAGGATGACAAATTCTTCCGGGCATGCCTTTAAATTTCACAAACCAACCTGCACTTTGCGATGTGTCTGAAGTTAATTTTGGGATTTGGATTTGCAAATATTAAAGTGGACCAGTTCGTTACTTATCATCTTAATTAAAAAAACATATTCCCGTCGAAATGTTCGATAAGTAAGCACAGAAATATTGTAAGGGAACTCCCAAAAACCATATCCAATGTCGCTAACCAGAAAATAACCCCTTTTTCCCCTCGCACCCCACCCCCCCGACCCCCAAAAATTAAATTAATTTAATTACTACTTCGCAATCTCGAAAAAAATTGACGTTGTCGTGGAGATTCAATCAGACCACTTAGGAGCGCTTCAAAATGATGTATTGCTCAACTACCTTAAAACCGCCTGGAAGATATAAAACTACCTCCAATAATGAGATTTATTTCAGAATCTAAAAAAATCTTACGTTGTCCCAGATATTGAATTAGACCATTGAAGAGCCACTTATGAGAGCTTCAAAATGTTGTATTACTCAACTACCTTGAAGCCGTCGGGAAGATATAAAATTACCCCCAATAATAAGATACCCAAAAAATTCGTTTTATTTACTTCAGAATCTCAAAAAAATCTGACGTCTCAGATATTGAATTATACTATTGAAGAGCCCCTTATGAGAGCTTCGAAATGATGTATTACTCAACCACCTTGAAGCCGTCGGGAATACCCCCTGTGCTGACACCCTGTTACTCTAAACGGCATCAAATGCAAAATTTAGTGTCATTTCGAATATTAGCGTTCCCTATACTGGAAATAATTTATAATGAAACATAATATGCAAGTGTTGTTAATCCCAAAAGCTCAAATTTGTTCTCAAATGCCGTCCCAGAAAACTTTTAATGAACGGCTAAATTAACATAAAAATAAAAAGGACAAATAAAGCATTCATGATCGATGCGGGTAAATTTCGAGTTAAAAAAATATGTCCAACGTTACATTGTCGTAGGACAGTATAAAGTTACAATTAGTTTACAGTGGAGCAAATATACGAACCAAAAAGAAAGTAAACTCTTTAGTCACTAGATCATTCCTTCCCCTTCCTTCACATGTTCTTCCCTTCCTTCCCTTCTTCTTCCTGATATCTTCCTTTTCTGACTCAGATCTACACGTACTTCTTAAGCAGTCCTTAAAACTGTCTAAACTTAACTGAAAACTATCACAATTGCTATTATGTTGACAAAAAACATCATTATAACTTTTTACACACAATGATAAACAAACGGCAACTTTTGTCTTCTGATATATAAACGACGAGTCTATAAGGTTATAACCAAGCTTATTGACAAAAGGAATATCAGCGAAAACTTTGCGATATTCGAGGATTTTCAGCATGTAGAATACCAAATTGGAATAATAAGAAAAGTAATGTTCTGTAATGGTCTATTGAACCTATAAGTGACTGCTTTCTTAAATCTTTTTTGAAATTTTACAAGATGGTTGAGCAATACACCATTTTGAAGCTCTCCCAAGTGACTCTTCAGTGGTCTATTTCAATATCTGGGACAACGTCATATTTTTTGAGATTCCGAAATAAATATAAATAATTTTTGGATATTTCATTTTTGGGGGTAGTTTTATGTCTTCATGGCGGTTTGAAGGTGGTTGAGCAATATGTCATTGTGAAGTTCACCTTTTTGATGGTGTGATTGAATCCCTGGGACGTCAGATTTTTTCGATATTGCGAAATAGTAATAAAATTAATTTATTTTTTGGGGTGCTTGCTTACTTACCCAGCAGATCTACAGAAATATGTTATTTTAATTAAGATATGTAACGAACTGGTCCGGTGTAACATTTGCAGATCCGAATTCAAATCCAAATCTAACTTCAGCCACATGACTTTGCGCCATTTTTCTATATATATTTCATTGGGAAAATTCGTTGCAGAATCAGACCAATTCAGAGTCCTAGCCGGTAAGTTTAAAATCGTGGACCACCGAAAGAAAGTCTTATTCTCTGTAGGAACCAATGGCGTGTATATTGGAACCGAACTTTTGAAAGTTCCAGGGGAAGTAATCGTTGATGGTTCCATCCTAACTACTTTAGTAACGTCTGAAAGGGGCGAAAAATTAAGGTTTGAAAATATTACAAAGCATTTATTAGTGACTTTTAAGTCTTTATAGGCTGGAAACGAGCACAAGGAAATTGGAAGTTCTAGGTGCAAACTGTGTAAATGTAGACTCTAGAGCGGGTAAACTTGAAGCAGAAGCATACGACGATTTTAGATGTGAATCGCGCGACGGAAGGGTCCATTTGATTGCGGATTCAATATATGTGCCTCATATTCCTACTGCAAGAGCTTCTATTTTTCCTGTCTCTGCAAGTGTATCTACAATCCATCAGATATGCGTCTGCGAGAACGGCAAACTTTTTACGGCGCCTTCTCATGAGGAGTGCCATATGAGTAATGACGAAGTGATTTGCTGATTAATATTATTTCAATTTACTTAGTTAATTCTAAAAAAATCTGTTACTTTTTTAGAATTCAATACGATCTATTGTATATTTTGCAACCCTTAGTGCAAGGAAATGTGAAAATCGTTGTTAGCCTATGTTATGCTTATTGGTTTATGGAACTTGTACATTTTACATTTAAATGTGAAATTTTCAAATTAAATGCAAATTGACATATTTCAATAACGTGCGAGGATTGTTTTAAGTTTAGGAATAGCTGTTGAAATTTGCTGGATGATGAATTGTAAAAAATGTTTAGTAAGTGATGAAATTAGGTAGGGGATTTAAGTATATCCATAATGACAATCCCCTTAAATTTCAACTGAACAAAATCTCATCTGCTAATATGCTCTCCTGAGTGTGTGTGTGCAACATTGCAGCTTATATATAATAAACACTTCTGCACTATTAACTCTCGTCTCGAATGTTCATTCATTATGCTCCATTATTCTGAAAAGCTTGGGAGTATTCAGACGCGATTCCCGATGTATTGTATTGAACTTTTAAATTCTTTATTCATATACTTGAATTCTAGATTAAATGCACGTTCTACCTTCCTTCCTCATTTAAAATAAACGATTGATGGTTTTATTAGCTCCCTATATATTGCAATAGGATCATCACGTCTTCTTCCCACACAATGCTTCCAATACTGCCATAATGCACATGCACAGATGCTTGACGTTTTTCGTTCATGTCTTATATTGAAACAATTTTCACAGGCTGTGGATCTTGAAGGTAAACTTCTTCTGTATCTCAACAATTTGTTTAGCGAAACAGAGAGTCAATACCCAACGCAGGAGAAATCCAGAACCTCCAAGGTCCACAGATAGCAGAAGGCTCTTTCAAATAGGAAACAATTTTTTCTTGCTTGGGTAAGAATGCAGTTTATTGAAATGTTAATGGGAATTTGAAGAAAATTTAAAGACCGTTAAACGTAAATCATTGAATGTATTTTGTCGCAACCACAAATAAATATTTTACACAGCCTTGTTGGTATTATTTTCCGCCTTAGTATTAAAAATAAATAATATTATGTTGGACAATAAAGCGTTATTATATTATGATATTCTGCAACTTTCTGTTAGAATATTTTGTTTAATTAGTGAATCAAAACACTATTTGCAGATTCCTAGATTTCACTTATTATCTCATGTCGTACATAGCAAAATGATCCATGTTGTTTCTAAGTTTAAAAGGTTCATCTTCTTGGATCCTGATGTATGAAAGTAGAGAGCAAAACCAGAGAATGTAATGGACGCCTGTAAACAAAATTAAATTTAACAGTTAATCGATGCGTTATTATAAGAAAAACCGATATTTTTTTTGTATGAAGTACGGATAGAAGAATCAATTTGTTTCTTGTTCGATACCACCAAGCTAGTAACTTACCCAGTAATAGTATGTAGAGAAAAATATAAGAAACTAATGAAGTCACGCCCAACATCATGATGGCATACATCAATATTGATACCGTAATCGAAACTACGAATGTCAGGGATATTTCCAAGGGCACCACAACCAAGTACGGAAACATATAAGGTTTATGTTCCTGAAACAGTTTAAAAATTAATTTGAGAAAAGCATTTTCTTATATAAATTAAATGTGTACGTCTTACTACGTAAATTCCCCAAATATAGGCGAGATTTGCTATTAATGTTAGTAAGATGTAGGTCAATAGTGTTCCAAAAAGTGCTCTTATGACGACTCCCGTCGTTCCTCCAATTAGCACCATAAGGACGATAGCAGCTATAGTCCTTGCGATCTAAAAAAACCTTAGAGGAAACTTTGAACACTTAGTTTTGTTGACTCGATTTTTAAGGCACATTTTTGTTCAAACTAAACGTCAATTTTTATATATAACCATACTGTTCATTGTCATTTTTTAATTAATTAATTTTATCGATATTCTATTCAAAATTATTATTCTCGTAGTTTGCTAGTTGACTGGAACCTTCGGCACTGTACTAACACACAATAACGCGTTTTACCACAAACCGAAACTAAATTTTACGTACTCCTTACGTTACGTACGTTGGCGCGTTTCGCCAACCAAGTTGGCATCTTCAGGAGAAGATTAAAACTGAGTTTCGGTTTGTGGTAAAACGCGTTATTATGTGTAAATGACTTATATATTTTATATTCAATACTTTTCACACACAGTTTGTTAAATTAATTGGTAAACTAGCAAATATTATTAAAACGCACCTATATTAGATTAAATATTGAAACTCAACTGCGACAAAATACTGAATCGTAAGCGAAGGAACCCGGAAGACCTTTATGTTCCACGTCGCCGTTCCAATCTTATTTTATCCGATTAGCAACAACTGAAAATACTTACTATGCCAATCCATCCCGCGATTCCAGCTACAGCCTTTACCGGCTGGTCGATAAAGAAATAATTCCGCAAACTATCTTGAATATTAGCCATTTGCAAATAACCAGTAAACTCGCGTTACATTTTGCATTCAAGTCTAAACGAACAGTACAGTGTCAACTATATATTTCTTATCAGCAGATTATCATGTTTTTGACAGTCCAGTAACTGATAACGTTAACGTGTGAATGACTCATAAAGATAATAATTGGTCTATTTTAGTCTTAGAAATTGTTTAAATAATTAGTGCAAGTAACTATGATATTGATAAACTATAACAGGTAGTATACTCACTCAATAATAACAAAGTTGGTCATTTGAATCATTAAATCGTTTTTACCTTCCTTTGCGTATTTCTTAAACAACAAGATTGTGATAAAAAATGAAAAACAATGCGCCGCTAAAATAAGAATAGAGATATTATATTCTGTTTGCTGTAAGTTGGCTCTAACTTACATAAAAACAATAGAGATATACATAATAGGTATATAGCGAGTACCGTTAAGCTTGCTCTAAGAAATAGGGCAAACAGTCCTGCTACTGCTACAAACCCAACAGATACCTCTAGAGAAACCACTGCCATATAGGGAAGCATGAAATTTTTCTTCTTCTGTGAAAAGATAATTTAGTTTCAGAAACAAAAAGGGGTTATTATACCTTGCATATTCCGAGTATAAATACGAGATTTGCAATCAATGATAATAACACCAAAGTGAGAATGCTCGCCAAAATCATCGAATAGATACTTGGGTCATCTTCCGTAAGATTTGAAATAGTTGTAATAAAAAATACAACCAAAACCGTCCTTCCTATCTAAAACACAATATAAAAAGGTTACTGAATTCAATATGGCCGATGATGAAGTCGAAAGTAATCGAATAAATTGAAAACGACATGGGAGTCCTAAAAACTTTAATTCTTTTCCTTAAACTTACCATAAAATATTTTTCTTCAATTTATTTTTGATTAAGAATTTTTGTTTTGTTCATGCAGCATTTAGAACGTGAATTTTTATTGGAGTAAAATACATTTTGGTTGGATTCCGAAGCAATTTATTAACATTTAAACATCGCGACTGATCAGTTTTAGATTGTTACTCACCGCACCAATCCAACCGAAAATGTATCCAAAAGAAGTTAAATGACAACCAAAATTAATTCGTTGCCTTAATAATTCGGTATTCATTTGGACTTTTTTTTTGTAGATCTAACATACATTTTTCTGATATATTAAAGTAACGAAACGAGACCTAACTAAAGAATTTCTTATCGACGATAAAACTGTCAGTCATATTAGTTATCGAATATATTCAGTGTATGTATTGAGCACGGCAATAATTTATTTGGGATTAAAAGCAATTTCAGGTTTTATAAATATCTGTTTAGAAATGAATTTACTCGGCACTTTTTCAATTTGTAACATACGGCGACATCGTCTGTGCAAGAGATAAAGTAATACAAAAACCATAGAAGGGTGTCTTTTGTTGGATGGAAGGCACCTGAGTTTAGTGGATGATCAATAAAGCCACCAGCATTGTGCCCGGCAGCGTGTTTTGGGTGGTAGCTAGTAGATGGCGCACATATCCAATAGAAAAAACAGCCTAAATCTAAACCTACACTAACCAAATTATCCTATTTCATTTTCCTGTAAGTTGTCTTCATTTTTATTTTTATTTTTGCTGCTAAACCTTGTGTTAAAACGGGATGTTATTTTTCGGTAGAAGAATTAAATAAATATATTCAAAGGAATGTAAATTTTCAAGTCAAATTACAATAACAAAATTGCGCGTCAACTCAAGCGGAACAAAATTTCATTATCGAATTAAATCCCATTTGCCTTTCTTATTAACCTTGTTTTGGGATGCACAGCCCAATGTGGGGGCTCTTCCCTACAATAATTTAAATTTATATATTAATTGAATATATTTCCCTCACTGAAAGGCTCCGGGCTGTAATATGTGAGAAAATTATGCGTAAAATTAAGGTTAAATTTTTTCCGCAGTTATTATTGAGTGGTTTTTGCAAATAGTACCCTTAGTCAACTGTATTGCCATAAATTATTGTTTAGATATTTGAATATTAATATTTTAAAGTTTCATTAGTGTCTTTGTTTCAGTCATATTTGTTATATCTCTATATAAAATGAGGGTTTTTTAACGATAAATAAATTATTAATAGTAAATTGAAAATTGAAAGTTTTGAAAAATAAATAACACATATCAAATAAAAATTGAAAAAAAAAGATAAAAACTTAAACAATGTTTAGATATCTTATAAACTTTAATTATTTATTTTATAACCTCAAATTCTGCTCAAACTATGCAAAATTTGAATAAATTTTTTTTAAGACAGTAACCTTTATTTTAACCAAGGATTCCAAAAATGTCGAAGTATACAGTGTTCTTTTAACAGAACAGTTGATGTCAGGGGGGACACTTTTGGTTAGTTTAGTTAGTAGAAACAAACAGAAATAAATTTTCTAACCAAAAAAACACTCGGGAATAATGGGAACAATAGAAATATTTTTTTAGATTAAGTGGAGATAAAACTACGATTAGTAAAATACTCCTGCCAGCTTAAATTTAGTAAATTGGTCAATATTCGGTATGATACACTTAAGTCAAAATAGTCTCCACAACAGCGTTTTAAAACTCAGGATAAACTCAGTCAATTACCTCTCTGGCGGCATTTTCTCTTTTCGGATTTACTTACCAATTTATTTTCAGGCGTTTAGCCTTTTCGAAAAACAAGTAAAATAATCGTTTTTTTATTTCAAAAATAGATAAAGAGTTTCTTTGACCCTGTCAAAATTTGTATTTTATGAAATTGACTGTATGGTTTGTTTTCCGTGGCATATAAAACGGTTTTCGCACAAAATCAGAGAACTAACATGGAGAAATATTTCTTGGAGGAGACGCGATTCCATCAATTCTGACCGTAGTTTATTAAAGTTCATAACCACCACTAGCTGCAGCAGGGATGACAGCGTAAAGTCTCCGCGTCAAATAAATACGAGTGGCGCGGATTCCTTCCGCAAACGTTTTGAAAAAGATGATTTATTATTAAAACAGTATCGAAAACGAAGAAGATAATGGATATTTTTATTATTCCGACACTTCCGTTATGAAGTCGAAATTTGGGACGATCTAATCAATCATTTCAGCATTCGGAGGGATATTCATCTTGCGATTCAAAGTTTCGGTCTTTAAAAGTTATTTAGAGTATTTGGCAAAAACAAATATTATGAAATATTTATCTCTAACGGAAACGAATTTTAGACAATCCGGGCTTTTAGGCCGTCGCGAGTGTTTTTTAGGCCTGGTTAAAGCAATTTCGTGAATGATCGAAAATTATGCACAAGGACCGTATAGTACATTTATAAAAGTCATGAATAAATAACCATTACAAAAAAAAAGCTAATTCTTAGGAATTAAATTGTAGGTTTTAATCACGCGTTTTCAAAGAAAAGTTTGTGGTTATATCTAAGGCTGGGTATATATAACCTATAGCTCTTTACTTTGATATTGATTAGAGGAAAGTAATGTATATTTTCCTCCTTTCTAAAAATGATCATGAATCTGCTATGAAAACTTTCCGATTATGAAATCGACTGAATTGGCAGTTTGTTCCATTATTTAGTGCATCAACAAAGATATTAATAAACCATTTGTTAATAAAACCGTTTGCCGATTGCCGCATTCCAAAATATTAGCTTTGGAGAACACAAAAATTCAAATTGTATTTCATGTGGCACTTCAACTATGGTAAACAAATTAGGAGAGTTTACGAGCTATTCGTCAATATGAATTCCAAATCCAATCCAAATGCATCGGAAAACAACATTTTTAAATTAAAATATATCAAAATAATTGACTACATTCTGCTTAAAAAATTACATCTTTTTTACCACAAAAAAAAGTCCAGTTAAAATTTCATCCATTATTAAAAGCAGTTTTCAACTGCTAAACGAAAAATACTATCTAATATGCAATTTTTATTGTGACCATTCAGACTTAGATTGGCACTATCTTTTAGAGAAGTTACAATGTTTTGAAACAAATTGCATATTTAGTAACTGCCACGTTATTTTGTTGTAGATTATTCGTATTTATTTATTTATTTTACTTATGTTTTGTCAGCATAAGTTTTAATTAAAAACTAATTTGTTGCTTGTGGAAATGCAAATTAAACTTGCTTGCATAGAAATCGCAGTTCAAGTGCAGTAACAGCTGCATGAAGTTCGAAGAGTCGCTAATAGTCAGTGGACGGTGAGAAGAAGACTGAAAGAAAATAACCTGATCTCAAAAACAACTGCAATTGGTCCAAAACTTACGCTTTGCCCAAGATAATCTGAATTGGACATTGGACAAATAGGGGCCTGTTCTGTTCTCAGATGAGACCAGCATATGCCTTTTTGGTAGTGTACCAAAGGCCAGAAGCGTGATTTGTAGAATGCTGAAATGGAAGAGCGGAACCCATATGGAGGTAGATGGACGCACCTGTTTTCATCCGTAGGGGTGACCGTGGTGAACGGGCAGGAGGTTTCACAGGTGCAAGGTACATCGAGGATATTTTATCAGATCGCATGGTACCATATGTCGACTACATTGGAGAAGAATTCATATTTATGCATGACAATGCTAGGCCGCAGATGGCAAGGATTGTGTAAGATTACAAAGTCGATTTTCGAGTTGTGGAGTGGCCAGCATGCAGTCCCGTCCTTAATCTAATCGATTATTTATGGGATGAGCTAAAATTTAGAATTTGAGCTATACTTCGTACCCCAACCTCAATCTCAGAACTTATTGTTGCAGTAGAGGAAGAGTGGCTTAACATTCCACAAGAAACAATAGTGAACTTTATTAGATCTATGCCTAATCCAGTAAGAGATGTTATTAGGGCAAGGGGGGGTCATACCCATTATTATAAAATAAGTGTTGAGTTGCTAATTTTTAATAACCCTATTTGTTTTTAGTAATAAAAAAAGGTTCATTTGATTTGTGCTAAACTCAAAAAGCAGCAATAAATTTTAATTAATTTAAACTCGTATTAAAGCATAATAAATTGTCTTTCAAACAGCATATTTTTTTTAATCTGCTCAGTAGTTTATATAAAAAAAAAGAAATTGAAGTCACACGTTCACAACGGGCCTATTTCTATGCACGCAAGTTAATTTTGTTTCGTTTTTCCTAACATAATATAATCAAAAGCATGCTAATAATGTCCAAAAGATTAAGCAAAAGTCGTCGTTTTCTTTTCACATCCTACCTTGAAAGTGTGACGTGGGTTTAAAATTTTAACAGCTGAAAGCCAGGCTATAAAAAGCAGATCAACTCAGAAACAACTGTTAAAATAGTTTATTTTTACACTGTTCTTTCTGAATAACAGGGGTTGTACTTCAAATTTTAAAAATTGTGTTTCTTACTTGTAATATAATATTTATCCATAATTTATAATTACAGCATTTTTTCTAAATAACAGCTAAAACATCCTATCAAACGCTAGAGTTAATACTGCAACCAAAAGCATGCGTGCATGTCGATGCAATTGAATCGTAAAAAAGTGGATGATCTACGACGTCACAACTCACATCAAAAACACGATAATTATTCATTTGGGAGCCGCTTTAATTTAGGGAGTACGTTTCCTCTCAGACTCGACTGACACTTTGCCTTGAAACAACGCGCCAACATCTCCACGACAGCGGGTGTTTGCCTATCACCCTTAACAGTCATTAGTATGAGGCAGAGGCTAATTACCAGTTCAGTCCCTCAAGATTCCAAGCATACTTTACTCACAACAATTAGGTATAAACAGTACGTTCTCTTTGATTTTTGTGCTATATTGACTTTACAAGTATTAGGTACTAAATTATTTATTTACTTTCTAACGCATCGCATGGCACAAAATACACAAGATACAATATTTACAGAGCAACTTACTCAGAACAACAAAGAGTTATTATAAAAATTACTTTTTCAAATACTATAACTTACTTTCTGCTGACTTCTATCTAGTATTTTTGTTAGTTTCTATGTTTCTCTGTTTCTTTATTTCGCATTTGATAGATGATAGATGATGGATTTTAAGTATAAATAAATATAAATATAGAACATAACAAATATTAGTAAAAATACTTACACAAAAATTATACAATATATTTAATTAACACACATGGTAATTTAA